GTCATTTGTTTACATTTGATACGCCAGAGCAGTGATGAATGTAATTCATGGAAGATTGAAGTTTATAATGAGTAAATTCAACCTTGCCAACCGAACGATAGTTTGTGGCCGAGCGGTCAAGGCACGTCAGCATAAATGACGGTTCCGTATAGGATGCAGGTTCGAATCATGTCAAAGGACGAATATTGTCTATGAAGATTTCTCGGACATTCAGGCCGGTAAATGTTATTTAATACTGTTTATTATAAACAGATCATTTACTTAAATAATTGTATCTATAAAAAAGAACGTTAAACATAAAAATGTCTTTAATATATATATATATGAAGAAAAATATACGGCAAAAAACAAAAATCCTAATATGCAATTATGCTGTTTTAATGTTAATATAATGTCAGCGTCGGACGTTTCGGTCTAGTAGGCCATCTTCAGGACATATTCATAAAACATAATTAACATTAGACTATAGTTAATTCAACATGAAAAGACGATGGACATAAGAGTATGACTAATCAAAACAGACAACTGAAATGTTTCAAGATCAGCGTTCCGTTTCAATATGATCACGTCGGCGTGACGCCGACGTGATCATATTGAATTAAATATAGTGTAATCATGTTGAATTAAATATAGTCTAATGTTAATTATGTTTAAGTACGCAGGTGGAGGTTTAAGAATGATTTTTTCAACTGAGAATACAAGGTTCGCGTATAGTGTCCTTTTATAGTCCCAGTGAACATAAATAGCTCTTTCAAAGAGGAGAGTAACAAAACAAGGGAAGACCACTCTTAATTATTCATAACAATTATTAAAATGCAATTATAGATAAAATACTTTCTAATTCTCAAGAGGCCAGTTCCGCGTGAAAAACGTCCATTTTCGCCCATAGCTCAAGTCATTCAACAACGTTTTGAAATATAACTTGAGGCATTTGCCGCGTTATTTTAACTGTAGGATTAGAATAAAATAAGAAAATTAAAACAAAATAAAACGTATTTAATATCATAATTTAAATTCGTTGGATTGTGAGGTTATTCACTGCGTATTTCGATTTGCATATTTATGAAATGAGAAAGAAATTTATTTTCTGTTTTACTTTAGAGCGTAGCTTGATGAAAAGAGCAGGATACGATAATATTACAAATACATTCGAACAGACGAAAACATGACAGCCAGTGTTATGAACTTACTTGAAATCCATTTGTTTACCTGTTCAATACTTGGCGCGTAATATTTCATTATGAACAAAAAGAAAACAAAAGATAAAGTAACAATTAACGCATTTATGAGGATCGCCTCTTCTTTGCTATCTCAGGACTCGTCAATTTTAACAATTAATTACGTCAGTTCAAGGTTACTCTTGAAAACAAAAAACGAATGGCTTCGAGGGTTGTGAGTAACTCAAAGCGATAAAAAGATTCATTCGCCTTCAATTATACGTGAATAGACCTTCAGGAACATTTTGAAGAACACTTAAAAAAAAAAAAAGATTTCAAAAGAAAATATTTGACTGGCTCTTTAGTAAATATTTCAAGCAGTTCTAAAGCGAACATCATCGTTGTAAGCACCACAATGGAGTTCAAAGACTGTGTGCAGTGATAAACGCCAAAATACGGAATCTCTCCGAAAGAAGTGTCTCTAAGTTTATGAGAACAGCTCCTATCTGGGATGTTGCAGAAGAGATTCAATCTGCCCGGGAATAACCAATAATGTTTTCCATTTTAAAGGAATAGCAATCTGGCAAAATGGCGTTTGACATGAAAGCGAATAAACATTTCTTACTGAATGACATCAACACTGACAAAAATGTCAATCATTGAAATTTAATGATCGTTTTTGGTGACCAAACAGTGGATGGAAGCAAATTTATGCTGTAGTTAATGCACTGGTAACAGATTCGAAGATACATTAGCTACTCAGATTCCGATACGTTTGATTATATTGTTTGATTATATAAGTTTGATATGATATATATACGAAATTCAAACGAATTTTTCCTAAATTTAAATTATATTTTGCTCTATTTTTTTTATATAAAGCACTGTCTTTGAAAAAGTTACCCGCATTTTAAACACATTAAAATTTAGTAACTTATGGCATGTCGCTGACAGTATAGAAAAGGATCTTTCTCCCCATTAATCTCTGAAGATTTTCGTCTTCGATGATTTAATGCTCACCACGACATGTGGCTTAAACCTTCTACTGATGTTGCCGGCGTTTAGACACTAAATTTTTCCATTGACCAATCCCTTGCTCAAATCGTGGACTTTCCTAATCGTTTCCCTAGCAACATGCTTAAATATTTTATTTATTTTTTTAACCTCCTCTCCGCGCTCTTGACGAGCTTCGCAACACTTTCCTCTTGGTAATTCTGACCTCACTGTTGTAACTATTGGCATTTTGTTCCAATCATCTATTAAACCTGACCTCCACAAGACCTCTTTCCGTCACCAGCATGCTGACTGGGACTCAATCATTGCGCCACTGAGGTTTCTTCTTG